CCAAATACGGTTTTTAAAGAAAGAACTTTAATGAAAGATTAAGAGAGCCAGACCTGCTGCCGCTCCTCAAATTTCTGGGCCGTCAGGACTTCTTCTGCTTTCAGCTTTTCTGTCCTCTCCAGTTCTGCAAGAAATTCTTCATGTTGAAATTCGAGGTGGTCCTTTTCTGTCTTTTTCTAGAAGAGCACAAGGGACAGGAAAATTGGGAGGAAAGAAAAACTGGATTCAGTCATGCTGAGACAAGCTTTCTTCAACTTTGTTTGTTGTTTTTAATGCATCACCTTTTCTTCTTTCTCTCTATTTTCATTATAGCTGTAAATCCAGGACGCCAAGAAACGGATGGGATCTACTGGCCGGCGATCCGCCACTTCTGCAAGTCCTTCAGCCAAGCACATCCCAAGGTTTTCCTTGAGGTATTTGAAGTCCATTCCCATCTTCTGCCTTTCACTCTGCATTGATTCGATGGATTAACTTATACCAAGTTATCTGTTTATATGAAGCAAAATAAATTGTTGCAAGCCAGCCCTTAGAATGAATCCATGTTCTAATTAAGTTCCTTTGTCTGTTCTTGTAGAGAAGGCATTACAATGGACACTGTTTTCAAAGGGGTTCTTTTTGTACCTCTTATAAATCATAAACTAAACTAATAAATATCTGATACCAATTGTCAGGCCCCACTGAGTTGAGAAACTGAGCAAACAAAATTCACTAGGAGAATAGCAGAAGAATGATGGACGAGGGAATCTGTGAATCTATGTATCTGGTCAGCAGAATACAGAACAGGAAGTGAGAGAGACAAAGGGAAAAGGAAATTAGATTAGTTTTTAAGAGAGAGAGAGAGAGAGGTATGTTCGTATGTGTGTGTCATTTGCAAAAATGGTAGAAAACAAGAAGATTTTACTGAAATATTTGTATTGTACTTGTACTGATGGTTGCTCTGTATCTCAGCTGCTGGTTGTCTATTTAATTCACATTTTTTTCTGGTTTTTGTTATTGTTGTTAGCCATCCAGGGTCCCTTGTTTAAGATGGGCAACCATATAAATTGAATGAATGAATAAATGCATTTTATATGACTATTTTACACACGCAAATTCACATTTAGATGAATTCACATCAACATTTCTCTAAATATTTAGGTAAATAGTTTTCATGTAGTATACTCATATCTTTGCTTACATCATATTGCACAATCAATTTACTTGTGTGGAATTTACATAACTTTGTAAGAGATTTATGGAGACCAACTTTCCAAATAGGTCCCAGTCAGTCCTCAGAGCAGCGAAACGCCTCTTCAAGATAGAAGGCAAAGTAGTTCCCTGGGAAATATGTTTCCTGCCAACCATGTAAAATGAAATAGAATAAAATAAAATGATAAAGTTGAACTTGACTCCCTGTAGATTACCTGGATCCATCCATCCATCTTGATTTACCACTGTTTTCTGTTGGGATTTGTTTCAACTTCCCACTCTAATCTAGGCTTTCAGTAGTTCCCTGGGAAATATGTTTCCTGCCAACCATGTAAAATGAAATAGAATAAAATAAAATGATAAAGTTGAACTTGACTCCCTGTAGATTACCTGGATCCATCCATCCATCTTGATTTACCACTGTTTTCTGTTGGGATTTGTTTCAACTTCCCACTCTAATCTAGGCTTTCCTTGTGGCGTCCCACCCAAGTTCTAACCAGGCCCACTCCGGCTGAGCTTTTCTGAGAACAGCAGCTGTTGCTTGCTGTCAGCTCCATCTTTGTAGAGCAGCAACGAGTTGGATCCCTTAATGCATCGATGAAATTTAATGACTCCAAACAAGGCACTTTTACCCCCCATTCTGATGACGGAATAGAAGCCACACCCCAGCAGCTCCCATGGAGCATTCCTGTTGTTGGAAAGGGCAGCACACGTCAGGTTGCATAACCTGGAGCCGTGCATTTGTGCAGACCACTCTACGATGTAGGAAGATATTTGCAACCGACACAAAACTTCTCAGCAAGCAAAAAGACCTCCAAAAAGGTCGCAAGGAGAGACTTTTTCAGGGTCTCACCAATTTATGCCCCAAACCAGGTCAGCCTTTGCGTCACCCGAATCAAGCACCCCAATAAATATCCTCCTTTTAGAATTCGCTGGGCGGCGAAGCTCCTAAAGATTAAACGTGCATACTTTGCGCTCGGATTCCTCCAGCCAGAAGACGACTCATCTGCTGCTCGGGCGAGCTCTTTCCTGGCTTTCTGCGTCGTCTGAGGAAGTTCAGGCTGGAGAGAAAGCGGGCTCCCCCGTAATTGCTCGTTAATACCATTAACTACAGTGGAGTCGACGCACCTGGATTTTGCTACGGGCCGGCGATCGCGGCGTTCCTTCGTCGCCCGGCAACCAAACACCTGGTTCGGATCCGATCCACCCCGGGCACGTGACGTCACGGAGTCTTCTGCTGCACGAATCCGGGGCGGAGGGAGGATCTCATTGGCTGCTGAGTCCCATTGAGAAAAAAAGAAAAGATCTGCTTGGGAAACGTAGAAAGGGAACCCAGGTTGTGCCTCGAAACTCCGGCATTAAAGCGCCGCAAGTTTATGTGGCGATGAATGGAGGAAGAATAGCTTTCTGCATTCCAGATAAGGGCGAGATATAATGAATTGCCTTCTGTGGTGTGATGTTTGTTTCCTGCTGGAGAATAAAAATAATAATAGTAAGTTGAGTTTTTGTTCCACTTTTTCCCTGGGAACTCATGGAGGAGGAGGCCGTCGCAAAGTCACGCAGTGGGTTTCCAAGGGAACCCTCCTTCTGAATGGCACCCCTACCAATGCCTGGTGATTTGGGAGCTCTTCCGTTGCCAGCTCAAAACCCCATCTGGGCTGTTCCACCTGGACTTCATTTGGGCTGGAACTCTAAAACTGGAGGGCTACCAGACATACCCTTCTGTGAACCAAGCACCTGTGGGATGAGCAGGGCCTCCCCCACTCAGATCTCAGGGAAAGGGGAGGCAGTGTTGGAAGACAACATCATAATCCGATAGAAAGTGGGAGGCAGGTCTTTGGCGACCGATGACAGTCCTCCTGTGCTTGCAACAAGGACAGCAAAGGAAAGGCTGGTGCCTTCTCTGGGACGGGCCAATTGGAAGGTGTGCTTCTGTATCTGCCTTCTGGATAGTAACAGGAGCAAACAGTCGCGAGGTATTTGGAAAACTGAGCTCAACTTCTTCATAGACCCATCCAGGCTGTTTTATTGTCTTCTTCTGAGATGGAGTTTTAAACTTCTTGCTCTAGCTTAGAGCCCTGGAATTCCCTCCGGTCTCCCATGGAAGTATGGATCAGGTCCAACCCTGCCAAGTTATTTGGATCAACTAAGGTTGGCTAGATCCTGCCACCTGCTGGTGAATATATATCACAGACATAGACTAAGATGGATGGATGGATGGATAGATAAATGATCTCTCTCTGCTGTCACTATATATCTCAGATAAATGGTTAGAGATGAGAAATAAGAAAACAAAACCCCAGCATATACCATATTCATATTTCCCTAGAACTATTGTGGGGGGAAATGGGTGTATCCACCCTCCCTCCCTTAATTTATATTATTGTTATGTTTCATTTGCTTCATTTTATTAAGTGAATGGAGAACACCTTCCTATCAATAGCTATTAATAGTGGATGCTGAAATCCTTATGCTGGATTAATTTCTTGCCAGGTGTCTGTATCGTGTGGGTAAAAAACACACGCAAAGAATATTTCTAATGTGGTCACAAATTTTATTCATAAAATAAGCCCTCAACTTCTCTTTTCATCACATAGCTTTTAAAAAAGATATTAATTTACAGAGTAATTATAATTACTTATAATAGGTAGCTCAGTGAACCCAACAGCGCAGCCCCCACAGCCTTCCCCTCCAATCTATATAAAGATCTGATGATAGATGAATATAGCATAAATATAACACACACACACACATCTCCCCCTCTCTTTTTTCTCCCTGCACAAGGCATAATATCTGGTGAGAATCCGATATAGCGACTCTAGGGAGATTCATATTGTCGTGTTGCTAAGATACAAAGGAAGCATCTTGTCTCTTGGTTATCCGCAAAGCTTCTCCCAATAGATGGAGAGTAGCAAGAAGAACATATTATGTGCATTTCTTTTTTCCCAAATTAATAAAGCTCTTTTTCAAAGTAATGTGGGTCTCGTTTTGGAGGTGTAGCCTATCCATGTTCTGAAGCAGAGCTCAGACTGAAATAGCAGTTAGCTTGTCCTCTATTTGAATAGGATTCCAGGTTCTGTATTGAATGACTCCAACTGTAGACCAGTTCTCAGATACTGATTTCTGAAACGGTAAAACCATCTTGGCATCATTCCAAAGTTGTTGTTGTCTCCTCCTCCTCCTCCTCCTCCTCCTCCATGTTGTTGTTGGTTTTTTTTGGATCAGAGGCTCAAGAAAACAACTTATAATAATTACTAATAGAAACCTAATGGGAATTTATTGTTCAACTTGTTTTCTATTTTTCTTTTAAATAGATCTCTAATCCAGAGATACTTGGGAACCAAAAATGGAGAGTGCCTACCTGAGAAAATACCTGGGCAGATGCTTAGCAGAAGGCCTTGCTGAAGTTGCAGAACATCGACCATCAGATCCTATATTGTACCTGGCCCACTGGATTTATAAATATAAAAAGAATATGATTGAAGACCTGCAGGTGGGGTTTCTGCTTCTAGTCTCCTTCATGTTCGGCACAATTTTAAATCAGCTTAGGATTTCTGCAATTTCACAGTGTGGACAATGTTTAAGAGTCTTTATTTCTAGCTCTGCCAAGGTCTGAAAATAGCTTTTTTTTTTTCTTTTCCCTTTAACATGGGCAGTCAGATTCCTCATTGGCAGGAACTCTTGCTTCACCAAGGCCTCCCAGCTCCTGGGCTTGAGATTTTTCAAGGGGAAAAGTAGTGTGATGAATTTTCAGTTCTCCCTCATGGGAACAGTTTTGTTCCTTTTCCTTTTCCTTTTCCTTTTCCTTTTCCTTTTCCTTTTCCTTTTCCTTTTCCTCCCTCCCTCCCTCCCTCCCTTCCTTCCTTCCTCAGAGAAATGCACACCATAAATGTATTGTAGATGAGATGAGAGGGTGTGAGTAATGTATTTTATTCCAGTGGAATTAAAATTCCAATGCAATTCGCATGGAGGGAAGGAAAGAGAATTTTGTTACTCCAGCTCCAGGCACAGCCAAGATTAAATAAAGTTCTTTGCTCCTTATTCAAAGTGTTTTGAGGCTGGCAAAAATGAAGAGAAAAGCCAAGGGGATTGAGGACTCCCTTCAACCTGCTTTTGAAGGAACAATGGGGTGAAATCTCCCTCCTTTTTTCCATATACTTGGTCCAGGCCTTTTAGAAAATTGGTGGCACTTTGAAACTAAAATGGAAGGGGGATGGTTTGTCTGTTCCCCTTCGTCCATTGTACT